TGGACAATAGCAGTGAGGACAAAGAGACGTAAACAATGGTATAAGTAACACTGTAATGGCCACGAGGATTTCCCTAAGTGCGGTAGGACGCCAAGTATATTATATTGGGCGTGTTGATATGTCCATTAGAGAAACGAGAAAGAGAGACTGAGAGAATATAAGAGGATGAAGCGCATGTTTCTTCAATTGAGTGTCCTCATGTATGTACGTGTGCATTAAAGGTTCTCTCTGCCTCCAAGTGACGGCGAGGCATTTGGTAAAACTCGCCAGCTGTACTTTGTGTTAGGTGTCAAGAGTCCAGATTAAATTCCTCAGATCGATTGACATCAGGGAAGGTTTAAATTGTTCATGGTACAGTGGTAGTAGCACCCTCGCTTGCCACTCGGAAGTGTGGGTTCGAACTCTGCAGGGAATACAGAAAAGGTTATGTTATGTGGTGTGGTGAGGTGTAGTGTGGCGTGGGGTGGTGTGATGTGGTGTGGCGTGGGGTTGTAATATCCAACTTGTGGTTGTGACCTATGACCACCACTTGACCACTATAAAATTAACATCAAGACCAATCACATCCACCATCAACAAGAGTCACATTAGGTAACTGGTTTTCCCTATAATTCCCCTCATAATGACATCCTCAATTAACTGTAGTGACGATCCTTACCTCATATATTGTGTAGTGATTATAGTACTGTGCCGTGACAGTGACAGGGGGCAAGAACGTGTTAAGACTACAAATTACCTCATGAAATAACAACACTAATAACTAGGGGAACGTCAGTAAGTGCGGAAGAACATGCGATGTTTTTTTTTATCTCCTCCAAAAAAAAAAAAATAATAAAATAAACTGAGAATGGATAAACAAAAGGAACTATCATTGTTCGTAACCATAGTTGATTGACAATAATAGAGTAATTAGTGTTTATGGCTGATAAGATACATCATCATCATCGTACAATCATCGAAAATCATTTAGCCTGCTTAGACAAGACTCATCCATGTACAAGCAACCAAACTAATTTCACCCCAATTTCACCCATATTACGAACACTATAACTACAATTAACTTAGCTAAAAGATCCATTAACACCATATTTTAATATTAGATTGATAAGTAGTTGCTTCGATTCGTCATTTGATCAAAGAAAAGATTATATATGCAAATGCTGTTAGGAACTCTCCCTCGTGAAATGTTTTAGTGTAATGGTTGTGTGTTAGAGCTTGGAGCTAAAGCACGACACGACATGACACGACACGACACGACACATCACGTCACGTCACGTCACGTCACGTCACAAAACACGTCACGTCACAAAACACGCCACGTCACAAAACACGTCACGTCACACAACACGTCACGTCACACAACACGTCATGTCACACAACACGTCATGTCACACAACACGTGTTACGAACCCCTCCACCCAGCACTACGAACCACGCCATCTATTGTCCTGATCTACCTACCCAGCACCACGAGCAACGCCATCTAGGGACGAGACACGAGTATGACTCGTCTTAGTTAACACTCCGGGGTTTCCCTTCTCCATATCCTGGTTGTTGCGTCACTTCCTCCAAGTCTTCTTTGTGAGCTCCAATTCGAGGAGAGAGCACTTGGCTCTGGGAAGTGACCACAGGATCATCTATCCTCTAAACCTACGGTGCAGTGACTACCTACCGTCTTCTACAATACTCAGCCTTACTCGTCAGCCATCTCAGCTCCTCACTTAAGTATATGTATCTTGTATTGCCTCCCCCACGTCCACTTGCTTCAAAATTGTTTATGTTGTATTAATATGTATATACTGTTAATGTTTAGGTTAAGTTTGGTTAAGGGTAATTTATAAGCTGAATATTTTGTTTAGGGATTTATGGTACTTTATTATACACAACAAAAACTCGCATCCTTTGTCTACCCTTTTATAGTCCGATTGTCTTTGTTTTTTTGTTGTTGTTACCTGTTGGGATCTGGGTAGACTTTTAACTATATTCTAAATCCCCAAGTCGTAACACACGTCACACAACACGTCATATCACACAACACATGTTACACAACACGTCACGTCACACAACACGTCATGTCACACAACACGTCACGTCACACAACACAAAACAAAACAGCACAGTATGACAAAAACAATGTTGAATAGGTCAAGGGATTTGCTGAGTGCTCTGAGCGGATGAATCACATAATTTTTGTGTATAGTAAAGTAAAATCTATTGTGTAGGAGTGACGGATACATACATCCATACATACATACATACGTGTGTGTGTGTGTGTGTGTGTGTGTGTGTGTGTGTGTGTGTGTGTGTGTTAACAAAGAGGGGAGTCGACTCAAACAAACTAAAAAAATCCACGAAATATTTTTTATCTCTGCAATATTTTCCGTTATTATTTTTTTTTTACCCTCTTCATACATTTCCTGCAACAAATTTTTTATCATCGGTCATACACTGTCTTTATTCTATTTACCTGTTTCGTGTTTTATTTACTGTTCATTTTCTCTTCTCTGCTCTATTTAGTTTTAGTGAAATAGTTCTCTGTAACGTGACTCCCCGAATACCGCTTTACAATGGCTTTTCTATATCCATGTTTATCTTATTAGTATCAAATATAGTTTTTTTTATCACAACTACTAATAATACCCAATATATTTCTTCACTACATTAGAGACGACCTCGAGTCATTCTTTATGTAGATACTATAACATTTTATTCATCTTTAAATCTTGGTATAATCCTAAGAGTATATTTCCATTACGCCCAAAGTCCATTAATTCCACACAACGAGGTGATTTACATATGCCTCAGTCGCCATCAAGCTCTTGTAGATGTTGATATTTATGTAAAAAAAAAAGTATATTCTTTGTTTTTCACCTTTATTTTGTTTTTATTGTGATTCTCATTTCTTCTCTGTTTTTTCGTGTTATTTCTTATTCGTATGACACTTTCTTCATCAGTCTATTATATTGAGAGAGACCTTTATTCCCTTCACTTTCTCGCTTCCTCGACTCACTATATAGAGAGATAAAGAGAGAGGGAGACTTTTATTCCCCCTCACTATCTCTCTTCTACGACTCATTTATCTTGGCTGTGTCTATTATACTTCTGGTGTCTCGCTAACAAAGTCACTGTCCAATAGTATTTCCACGTTCATTATTTGTTCACGACCGAGAGAGAGAGAGAGAGTGTAGGGAGGGTTACTTGTTTTAACTCAGATGTAAGAAGGTAAACCACTGAATTCAATAAAATAATAATAATAATAATAGTAATAATAATAATAATATTGTTAAGCTATACAAAGCCAGAGAAAACAAGTGAATTATTCCCCAGTACATTCATGAGTGACTGGTACACACACACACACACACACACACACACACACACACACACACACACACACAGAAACACACATCAAACACAATATCCTCACTAATTTACATCAAAGTAATTATTACAGGTAAAAGAAAAGAAGAACCAGTGCTCTCTGAACCTAATCTACACTGTGGAAGTACAACTGGAACAAGGAAATCATTTTAAAGTCACATTATGGAACCTGCAAATTAGATCAAACATTTTAAAACCCAACGAGATGCTTTGTGTATTACGTTCGTGGTTTGCATTGTATGATTATATGAAATTGACTTCCCTGATAACCAACTATCAATAGCATATACACGTGTACTTAGTTTTACAAGATGATGCATTCCCCCCCCCCCCTTTTTATAATACGACAATCTTGTAAATGATAAGAGGAACACAACATATTTACAAATAAGATGTAAATTATTCTTCTATCTTGCAGGAAAGAGGCAGCGTGAGCGAGGGATGGCCAAGAGACACAAGCTCTTATGTAAAGAAGGATATTTTGGTCAGCCAGGAACAATACGTATATATTTGATGAGGTGATGTAAGCAGGGACGAAGAGTGTGTCCAATACAGAGAAATAGATGGAACCATGTGATGAATATTGAGGTGGAGAGGTAGAGAGAGTATTCCTCCTTCATTTCGTGTACTTTAACCTCCATTTACATATTTTCTACCTGAACAGACCCTTTAAAACTAATTACCTTTTCAACCTTATGCTATGACCTGTGATATTTCTACACTGTACTGAAAACATTCTCTCTAAATCCACCATCCTTAAATCTTTATACCTACTCTAGGCTAACAACAACAAGGATAATGATAATGATAATGATATTACAGTAATAATAATACACATGGGATAACACACCCATCAAATTATCGTTCTTCGTAATAAAATCCTGTACATATTCCTATACCCCATGTCTATTAAAAACCTTCAACTATAAAGCTCAGTGAAATCTTCCCAACCAATTCATTCAGACCGACTCGTTCCTTAAGTAGGTTAATCTTCACTTACATCCCTCCAATATAACACTTCTCTCACTCTCGTTTCTGAAGTATTCCTTGTGATGAGTATTTACACGGAGCTAAGAGACCCCTCCCCCTTCCTACCTACCCTTTCCACATGCCGCTCTCACGCGTGTTGAAGTTAGGGATGAGACAATGGGTAAAGAGATTCATTTCTACTGAGTTAAGGAACATTATGACGACTTAATTTGGATGAAATAAAACAATTAAAATCTGTATAACGCCGTGTATAAACCTCATAGTATGTAATTTTGTATAGATTTGTATAAAACCTCGTATATATCTACAGTATGTACCAGAGACTAATCCCTTATATTTCAGGCTGTACCTCAGTTGGGATGGGTTACCTCTGAGCTACACCAGCGCTTAAAAGAACTGGCATATTCAATTAAGCGTCGAAGATCCAATTATCTTTTAAAAGGATCTCTGGGTCTCTTACTAGGGACAGTCCTCAGACCAGGTAACTCAATAGTAACTTTTGACCAACCTTGCTAGCAACACGCGGAACATCCATACTAGTAACACATAGAGCATCAATACTAGCAACACAAGGAGCATCCATACTAGTTATACGGAACATCCATACTCGTAATACGGAACATCCATACCAGTAACCCACGGAACATCCATACTAGTAACACAAGGAGCATCCATACTAGTAACACAAGGAGCATCCATACTAGTAACACAAGGAACATCCATACTAGCAATACAGAACATCCATACTAGTAATACGGAACATCCATACTCGAAACATTTGGAGCATACATACTAGTTATACGGAACATCCGTACTAGTAACACAAGGAGCATACATACTAGTAATACGGAACATTCATACTAGACCTCCATAAAATATCACGGTGTGAAGGTGTGGAACAACTTACCGCCACCCATCCGAGCAAAGACTACGCTCCCTTCCTTTAAATCATCTCTTAAAAAATATCTATTGTCCAAGTATTAATATTTCTTGTACCCCTACTATATTTACAGTACTTGCTTTTATTGTACCATCAAAACCGTTTTATCGGAAATTATCATGTAAATAGATAAGAAATTACCATTGCAATAAACATAATTGCACACTAGACATAATCCTGACAGCTCTGTCCTCTTGTTCAACCTTAATACTGTACAGCCCATGTTGTACTGCTCCCCCATTATACTTATGTTTTTCAATTCCACTGTAGTTTATGTATATACAAAATAAAAAAATAAAAAATAAATAAAATAAATAAATATTCAAGTGATAACCGTGGTAACATTATGAGATGTTCTTATTACCACCATGCTATTGTACTATTCCAGATGTATAGTATATATGAGGTGCCTCAAAGAGAGCTCAGGTTCTCAACTGGCTCAGCCATGTTAATATTGTTATTATTATCCACTCTGTATCTGTGTTTTTCTGGCCAAATAAACTGTTTCAAATCAATTGTTTCAATTAAGTAATACGGAACCTCCATACTAGTAACACACAGAACATCCATACTAGTAACACGGAACCTCCATACTAGTAACACACAGAACATCCATACTAGTAACACGGAACCTCCATACTAGTAATACGGAACCTCCATACTAGCATCCATACTAGTAACACGGAACCTCCATACTAGTAATACGGAGCATCCATAAGGGTAAAACCCATGTCGTCTCCACCACTCCAGGTCGACAAGTATCAGGCCTCCTCTACCCCTTCAGGTCACCTTCACCCCCCAAGTCTCTACCATCCTCCAAGTCTCCTCCATCCTCCAGGTCTCCTCCACACCAGATCTCCTCCACCACTCCAGGTCTCCTCCACCACCCCAGGTCTCCTCCACCACTCCAGGTCTCTTTCACCCCTCCAGATCTCCTCCACCCCTCCAGGTCTCCTTTATCGCACCAGGTTCTCCTCCACCCTCCAGGTCTCCTTCACCACTCCAGGTCTCCCCACCACCCCAGGTCTCCTCCACCACACCAGGTCTCTTTCACCCTCCAGATCTCCCTCCACCCCTCCAGGTCTCCTTTACCACCAGGTCTCCACCCTCCAGGTCTCCTTCACTCCAGGTCTCCTCCACCCCTCCAGGTCTCCTTCACCACAGGTCTCCTCCACAGGTCTCCTCCACCCCTCCAGGTCTCCCTCCACCCTCCAGGTCTCCTTCACAACCCAGGTCTCCTCCACTCCTCCAGGTCTCCTCCACCCCTCCAGGTCTCCTTATCGCACCAGGTCTCCTCCACCCCTCCAGGTCTCCTTTACCGCACCAGGTCTCCTTATCGCACCAGGTCTCCTCCACCCCTTCAGGTCTCCTCCACCCCTCCCGGTCTCCTGCACCCTCTAGGTCTCTTCCACACCTCCAGGGTATCTCCACTCCCAGGGGAACCTCCGAAGGGCGGTTGCGGCCCCAGGAACCCCCCCCCCCCGACGGGTGGTAGCGCCTACAGGGGCATTCCCAGAGGTGGTGGTGCCCCCAGGGGCCCTCCCAAGGGCGGCGGCAATCCCTTCCTTTAATGTGATTGGTGTAGGAGAACAGCAGTCAGTCAACACAACACCCCAACTGGTGCTTTTGCTGTTGATATTTGTCTGCTTTTACATTGTCTAGTGAATGATACTCGAAATGCGATTGGAATCGTATTTATTTAACGTCAAAATATCTCCCAGAGTTCTAAATAAAGCAAAAACAACTGCCCCCAGGAGATTCCAGGTGCTGATGCAACACCAATGACCTCACAGGTGTGGGGCTATGGCCCTACGACCTTCCCAGGCCGGCGGCATCCCTAGTGCCTTTAGGGCGGCAGCGCCCCATGACCGGCCCCCCAGAGTGGTGGTGCTTCCAGAAAATTCCTGGGTGGTGTTGCCCCAAGGGCCTCCCTCCCAAGGACGGGGTGGTGCCCACAGAGCCCCTATGAGGGGGGTATTTGCTACCACAGGGCCCTTTTAGGTGATGGCATCCCAGAGGTTCTTACAGGTGAGACGGCGCCCAGGTCCCTCTCCCTCCCACATACATACCAGTCCCTTTATGGACAATCATCGGGGCGGCGACGTCCCGGAGGCCTTCCATGGCGGCGGCGCCCCAGAGATCCTCCATAAAAGGTGTTGGCCCACCTTTTGGGCCCTTCTAGGGGATAGATCCGTATAGTCCTCCTCCCAGGGGTTGTGGCGCGCTCTCTGCTGTCCTTCCAGAAGAAGTGTCGTCCCGAGGGTGCTCACAGGTCACCGGCGAGAAGCGCCCCAGGGCAGCGCGGCTCCACAGCCCGGGCTGTTAGGGCATTGGCGCTCCCAGGGCAGAGGACCTGGGGCCCTCCCTATTGGCGCAGGAGGCGCCCTGAGTGCCCGCCCAGGAGCAGCGCTGGGGCCCTGCCCGGCAGCTTGTCCCCACGGGACCCACTAGGGGTGGCAGCGCCTCACGAACTTTCCCAAGGGCAGCGGTGGCGCCCTTAGTGGCTCCCTCACATACAGGAACGCAGCAGAGTCCCCATGGACCTACCAGAGGCGACCCCTCCTGGGAGCTCTATAGCTGGTATGGTCAGTTCTGTCGTCCATGTCCATCAATCCCATAATACTTAACTGTGATTGGTGGACTAAAATGTAAATCCACCTAACCACAGCCAATAGGAGAACAGCAGTCAGTCAATAAACACCCCAAATCCGCGTTTTGCTGTTGGATATTTATTCTGCTTTACATTGTTCAGGATGAAATGATACTGGAAATGCGATTGGAATCGCATATTTATTTAACGTCAAAACATCTCCGGCAAGAGTTCTAAATAAAGCAAAACAACTGCCCCCAGGAGACTCCATAGGTGCCAGTGCCACCAATGACCTCACAGGTGTGGGGGCGCCTCAGGGCCCTCCTGAGCCTGGGCACCCCAAGGATCTTTCCGTGTCCTGCGGCATCCCTAGGTGCTTTGGCTGGGGCACCTCAAGGCCCTCCCAGTGGTGGTGCCTCCAGGAAAATTCCCTGGGGTGGAAGGTCGAACAAACTATTCTCCCATATATTGGTGCCCACAGAGGCCCTCTGTGCATTTGCTGAGGGCTCTTTTTTTAGGGATGACAATCCCAGGGTTTCAGCAAGTGAAATGGTGCTTCCAGTGGCCCTCCCAGATACGTGGGTCTCTTGCAGGACAATCATCGGGCGAGACGCCCCAGGAGGCCTCCCAGAAGTCATGAGCCCCAGAGGCCCATAAGGTAATGGCGCACCTATGGGACTCAGTGATGAGCCCCATGAGCGCCTTTAGGGGTGGTGAGGCCCTAAGGGCCCTCCCAGGCGGAGGTGCCCTGAGTGCCCGCCCAGGAGCAGCTGGGGCCCTGCCCCAGCAGCTTGTTCTCACGGGACCTAAGTACCAATGTGTGGCAGCGCCTCCCGAACCCTCCCAATGGCGGTGGCGCTCCTTAGTGGCCTTCCCAGGAACGTCAGAGTCCTCGCAAGGCCCCAACAGAGGCGAGATCTCTCCTGGGAGCTCTATAGCTTGTGCGTACCGTTCTGTCAGCAGCGTCCAATAATCCCATACTTTCTAGTCTGTGATTGTGACTAAAACGTAAATCCACCGAACTGCCATGCCAATAGGAGAACAGCAGTCAGTCAACACAACACCCCAACTTATGTTTCTTTGCTGTTGGATATTTGTTCTGCTTTACATTGTTCAGGATGAAATGATACTGGAAATGCGATTGGAATCGTATTTATTTAACGCTGCAATATCTCCAAGAGTTCTAAATAAAGCAAAACAACTGCCCAGGAGACCTGTTAGGTGCTGGTGCGCCACCAATGGGACCCTCAGCAGATCCGCATGGTCCTTCTAGGCGTATGCCTTCAAGGTTCCTTCCAGAAGTGTTGTCCCAGGGTGCTTGTCACCGTATGATAGCGCTCCCAGGGGCAGCGGCTCCCCACACAGCCCGAAGCTGTTAGGGCATTGGCGCTCCAGGGCGGTGGCGAACCTGGGGGGCCCTCCTAAGTGGAGGCGCCCTGAGTGCCCAAGGCCCAGGAGCAGCTGGGGCCCTGCCTCAGCATGAACCTTACGGGACCCACCAGGTGGTAGCGCCCCTCACTTAACTCCTCCCAAGGGGAAGTGCAGTGTCCTTCGTGGGCCCTCACAGGAACGGGTAGTCCCCATAAGGCCCTGGCCTGAGAGAGGTTAGATCTCCTGGGAGCTCACGTATTGCAGGTCGTTCTACGTGCATGTCCAACAACTCATACTTAACTGTGATTGTGACTAAAATGTAAATCCACCGAACCAGCAGCCACAGCAGGAGAACAGTAGTCAGTCACCACAAATAACTTCAAACTTATGCTTTGGTTGTTGGATATTATTCTGCTTACATTGTCTGTAGATGAATGAGATAGTCACTGGAAATGCGATTGAATCATTTAATCAAACATCTCCAAAGAAAGTTCTAAATAAAGCAAAAACAACTGCCCCAGGAGACTCCAAGAAAAGCTGGTGCGTGCCACCAATGGACTACAGGTGTGTGGGGGGGCGCCTCAGTCTTCCCAGGGTAGTCGCACCCCAAGACTCTTCCCCAAAGGCTTTATGTAATCCCAGGTGCCTCTAAGGGGCGTCAGCACCCCAAGGGCCTCCCAGGAGGTAGGCAGCCCAGGCACCTCCCTGCAGGCTGAACAAAACGCCCTCCCAAGGGTGTATTTTTCTGGTGCCCACAGTATTTCAAGGGGTATCTGCTACCACAGCGCCCTTTTTAGGATGATAAACCCAGGGCTTCCTAAG